TTTGGACAGAACTCCTCTCTGTTTTGCACTTAAAAAGCTGACTGCTAATAATTTTATTCTGTTTCTTCTTTCTGAGCTAATTTTCTGACTCATTGTGGGTTTTTTTCTGCTTTGTTTTTGTTAATCTGGTTGGCATTTCGTGGTTTCTTTGTTCGTTATGCGATGGGGCTATATAAGGGATGTGTCTCTGGAATTCAGGTATCTTCTGCCCTGTGCTTCGTGCTATCTCCTCCATCAGTAATTATGCTGAAGGCTGTTAGATGCATTTGGCATGAGCTAACGTTAATAAATCTGGGTTGTTAATCACCCAGACATCTCTGCTGAGTCTCTGCATACTGATGTGCATGTGCTCGGATCGCTTCTCCGGAGGTTCAGGGAAATGTGGAGGTTCGATGACCTCCCCCAACCCGTCCCCTGCTTCTTGGGCTTCACCTGGCACCGTCCAGCCTGTGGGCCGGAGGGGGCTGGGGAGCCCACGGCTTCCTTGGCTCTGATGCCACCAAACCCCCAGCAGCAAAGAGCTGTGGAACTGTGAAAGAGGCAGAAAATGCCCCCAAACTGTAGCTACCTCTCCCCGTTTTGAATGCCACGCATTTACAGGGTGCTCTTCCCAGGCCACCGCTCGGGTCCCATCTCTGCCCCCACGTGGGAACAGAGGTCCTGGTTTGATCTCCTCTTTGGTGATGCTGATCTTGGAGGCAGGGTCTACTCAGGAAGCAATTCCCAAGTGGCCGTGATGTGTCTGAAGACAAATTAAAGTATGTTGAGGCACATCAACATCTGTTCACCTGCACAGCTGGCCGAAATGCCTCCCCTCAAGCTGTCCCAACAAAAGCAAAATTTCTTAAACGCTGTTTCCAGACCTTGGCAAGGTGAACCCTCCAAGTGCCGTACAGCGCTTGGCATGCGCAGTTTGGCAGATGCCACCTCTTGCCGCCATTCCCACGCCTTTTCCAGCTCGGACAAGGACTCATAGCTCTTCCATGCAGACTGTAACTTGTGCAGTGCCAGTAAGAGCCTCCCTCAGGCAACGGGACAAGTGTGTGAGGCCCTAAGTCCCATTCAGGCACTGATAACACCGGCTTAGATAGCGACTTCCTTACAGTGCGGCAGTCGGCACCTACATTGTGCCCATGTAGGGGAGAAAACTCCATGAGTGAGACAGAGATGTGGCACTTGAGAGCCTCACGGAAAGCAGCCAGGCTGCGCCTCAGGCTGTATCTCAGGCTGTTGTTCAGGCTGTGTCTCAGGCTGTGCCTCAGGCTGTGGTTCAGACTGTGCCTCAGGCTGTATTTCAGGGCCGGAGGCAGCCAGCTGCATGGTGAGGGGTTGGCAGCACCCCAAGGCGTGTGAGAGGAGATTGGCTTATTTGGAAGGGGATTTCTCCAGAGAAAGCGCACACGTTTAATGAAAGAAAGGAACACAGCACTACGAGGTCTCAAGGATGAACTAGAGACAAGCTGAAAAGATTTCCTGGCTTCGTCGCAGTGCAGGGAGCGACAGGATCCTGGGGCGCCCTTCCCTCCGAGCCCCCTTGCGGCGCCGCCGCGCAGCCTGTGCCAGGACTGGCGCCTGGGCCCGTCCCCCCGCGTGGCGCGGGCTGACCCGCTGGCTCCGGCCCAGCACTTGCCGCGAGGCGCCACGTTTCCTTTCAGGAGCGCAGTGAGAGCTGCGCCTTCATGCAGCCCGGGGAGGACATCCGTGCTCGTGTTGTTGCTATGGTTATTTTATAGAAGCTGAAAATATAACATGGAAATGGAACAACATAGAAAGATGCATCTTCGACCAAAGAAATAGCTCTTTAGCCATAGGAGAGTTTTGTGTGCACAGGGCTTTATGCAGGGGAGTGTGAAAATAATGAGAACAACAAGAGGCCAAGGGCAGGTATTAACAGATTTGGGGCCTGGCTTAATGGTGCGGTTTTGAATGGCAGTTTTAGCCTCTCTTGATCTAAAAACCATGCAGAATTTCATAGCAGAGACGCAGGGCTCGGCAGTGCATCGGAGCTCGGCGCAGTCTGCAGCTCTGCTGGAAACCCCGGCTCGGAGGAAGGCCGGAACCCGAGCTGGGCCTTGGCGCCGAGGAGCAGGTCCCCCACCTTAGCGGAGGCAGGAGGCAGCTCTCTGCTGGCTGTCGTTTCTTTTGAAATGTTTGCTTTTGCAGGGCGGCTCTAAGAGCCCCGGAAAGTTTGTCCAAAGCAGTAAAACACAGCAAGTAAGAGATGTGTTTCCCCAGGATGATATCTTAGGTGGCATTTTTTTGAGATTGCACCATCTTCAGAAGGTACCGGTGCTGTTTTTTAATGCGTATTGAATTAGCTGAATAACTGTGAAAGGAAATAAGCCCATGAATCACTGCTAAGCAAGCTCTTTGTCTGCGCCGTGGGCGGATGGAGCGGCGGCTGCACGGCAGCGGAGAACGGCGCGCTCCTGCCGTCCCTTACTGCCACTGCGCAGGGACCCGGCTGCCTCCTGGCGAATCGGCCATTCAGGCCTTGACTCCTCAAGGGTCCTGCAGGAAAACGTGGGAAATCCACAGCCCGAGCCTGGTCCTCCCACCCCGCAGCAAACAGCACAGCCAGGACTGGCTCCAGCCCGGCCTCCAGACCTGAAAACATGGCTCTTTTTCCAGTTTGTTCTCTGAAAGAAGTGCCTTCCAGGGTCTTTTTCTTCACTTGTGGTTATTCTGTCCCATAACACCTGGCGGCTGGAGATGATGTCCTGAAAGATGTGGGGTTTTTTACACTCTATGGGGAAAAGTCTCTCAGGCTTGAGAGGATGTTTATGTGGAAACTGGTTGAGATCTTTCAGTAGTGGGAATTGACACATGCACACTGACAATCACCTTTGCACAGGGAAGAAATAGCGCTTTATTATAATCCAGAATAATGCATGGCCTGAGGGCCATTCACTAACCATCAATGAGGAATGAGGGGCAGCAAAAAGGAAAATGAGAGTCTTTTTGTAATAAATGACTGGATCATACCCATTAATTACAACTGCTTTTAATATTTGGGAAAATTTCAATGATGCTCTCAGACTGTAGTGAGAGGGCAGCGCCTGGCACCCAGTGGGAGACTACGTTATATCTTCATATTAAAATTATGATTTGTTTCCAAATGCAATGCCATAGGGATCTAGCATTTGACCACTCTTTTGAAAATCACACTGCTCTGCTCTGTCCTCTTCATAGATATGATGAATGTTTGTCACTGAGACACAGGGCCTGAGCAAAATGGGGTCAAGCAGTCTGGAAGCTCAAACCAAGCCCTCCTCTCCCCCTGCCAATTCCACTTATCTTCTCATTGTGAAAATAGGAAAAATAACCACTCCTTAGCAAAACAGTATTTGGGTTATTGAAATAACCCGGGAAGAGGTGGGGGCCAGACCCGGGGCAGCTCCTGCTGTCTGGGTGAGTGGCCCGGCCGTGCAGAGGGGCTGCTCTGCAGAGCGGCCAGGACGTCTACCCGGTGCTCGGCCTTTGGGCTCACCAGGGCTAAGCAGGAAGGTCTCTGAGCACCCAGTTGCTCTGCTCGCAGGTGAGACCTGTGGAGGCCCCGAGTCCTTGTCTCAGGACGAGCCCCCGCCGCAGCACAGGGCTGAGCTGCTCCCCGCTGCCCCGGGGCAGGAGCCGGACCAGGAACCGGGCCAGGAGCTGGGCTCCTGCAAACCCAGCTCTGAGTGCACCGCAATTTCACAGCTCTCCTTTAATGCAGAGAGTCTGTTTGGGTTTTTCTTCCTACCTGCACAGTTTCCTCTGCATTTCGGGCAGGAGACGAGATCAGCTGCTCCAGCTGATCTGCACCAGTGTCCCCCACTAAAGCACATCCCCGTTGCACTTTCTCATGCTTCCCTCTCTCACGCACTAAATCTTGCCTTGTTTCCCTGCTCTCCAGGGATGTAGCCCCAGCAGTGCCAGCCAGAGCTGCAATCTCCTCGAGACGTCAAACGAAACCTTCCCCTCGCACTGAGTCAACACTGTTGTTTAAGTGAAAACCTCTTAGAGCAATTAGCAATTATGGGGAAAGATTTCATTGTCTGGCTGATGAATGCTGCAGCCCTGACGAAATAGTCTGTGGCCTTTAGTTCAGTGCCATTGTAGCTTTATTTGATGAATTAATATAGTTATAATGAAAGCTCAAAGAAATTATCCATGGACTGAACAAATGAATGCTGAATGAGGTGCTGAATGAATGAGCATCTACCTCAGCTGCAGTTCTGCTCAAAAACAGGGACGTGGTGACAAGCCCCCCAGCCGGAGGCTCTGCGGTCCCGGGCTGAGCAGTGGCGGAGATGTCCCTGCTCTCAGCTCTGCCCGCTGCCCACTGACTTAGCCACAGCTCATTGCTCTATCTGTCAGTGCCACCATGGCCAGTGTCCATCTCATCTCCTGACTTGCCGACACATTTATCCACACAGTTTGGCAGCAGAATTAAATTCTTCCCCTGACTGTATCCACATGACCCCGCTGGAGACTTCCACCCTCCATGGTGGCCTCCAAAGCCAGCTCCAGCTACTCCCACTGCAGCTCCAGCCACTCACTCCTGCTGCTCGCTTAGCTCTGCTACAGCTGCTCTGCTTTTATTTTTGGGCTACTTCTCAGCTGCTTCTTCTACAGATCTAGAGAAAGAGCAACAACACCTTAAGTCGATACTGCTGTTGACTGTAGCACTTACTTACCCTGAGTGCTGCTGGGCACCTTGGTATAAGTTATCTGGAGAAACTCTGCCTGGACTGAGTCAAACTTGGATATCAAAGTTCTTCCTTCAAACACACATCAAAATACGTAACTCCTACTGCTCTGCAAGCGACCCTGGGGTGCGAAGCAGAGGTTACTTGGATGTGTCCATGACATTGGTAATGTGTGCTGCCGTGAGACAAGCAAGCAACACAGGAAGAGTTCGTAGAAGCAAATGAGAGTAGCAATGTAGAGCTCTCAGGAGCAGCTGGGAAATGCCCTTGAGGTCCCCTGGATCCAGCTGACTCACCCCAACACTCTGCTCACAAGTCTGTGTTGCCTGTCCGCACATTCACGGTAGAGCGAAAGGTCTGTGAGGAAGGTGCCTTCTTGCAGCTGGCTTGCTCCATCCAGGCCTCGCGGCACGACACGATCACAGGCGGCAGCACACGGTCCTGCGTCTGCGGCACCTTCTGGCACATGCAGAGCAAGGCCTTGAGCTCAGAGCGGAAGCTCTCATTCAGCCAGCAGTAGATGAAAGGGTTGTAGCAGGTGCTGCTCATGGCAAACCAGTGTAGAGCAAAATAGAGAGAGTTCTTCGTCTTGATACCCAGGCTGGAGATGAGCACGACGTAGCAGTTGAGGGGGAACCAGCAGACAGCAAAGACCACCACCACCACCACCAGCATCTTGATGCTCTTCTTCTTGTTCCTGTGGTGGGTGATGTACTGCTGCGTGGTGATGTCTCCTATCGCGTTGCGCAGCCACAGCTTCTTGGCCAGGCGCGTGTAGGTGACAGTGATGATGAGCAGGGGCAGGAAGTACAGGAGCAGAAAGGTGGAGAGGTCCAGGTATTTCCAGACCAGTTCTGCAGGCTCAGGAAAATCAGGGAGGCACAAACTCCGCACAGTGGTTTCCCTTGAAAGCAGAGAGAGATGGACAGAGCACGCAGCCACTGCAGGCACTGCCCAATGCTGCTAACTCGGCAAACCACAGTGAGGCTTCATGCCCCCCACAAGCACGTCCTCATGGCTTAACACTGACAGAAGAGGCCCAAACACAATCTCACACTGGACAAAACTAAACTGAAACTCAGTTTCCCACTAAGGGTCTTGTCTGTGTTTCTGTGTCTCTATCTGCCCCAGTGAGGATGAGACCGGCTGCTGTGCCCTGCCATCTTCTTCCCCTCAAATTCCTCCTGGAAGCCGAATGCGAGAGGAAAGGGGCAGTGAGTGATACCTTCCCTACCTGGCTGTGTTTCAAGAGGTGATTCCCACCCAGCATGAAACAGGACGGTTATACCCACATTTTAATGTGCCCACCCAGAAACGCAGCCCAGCACGTCCCTGCTGCCAGCAGGCTGTGGCAGGCACCGCCTGCCCAGGCACCATGCAGGGCGCTGCGGCGGCGCGTGGGTCCCCAGCATGAGGACAGTGGCCTGCATCGTGCAGGGGCCTGCAGCACTGCAGCGTGCTGTGGCCTGGGCGCTGCAGCGTGCGGGGCCTGCAGCGTGCAGTGGCCTGCAGTGTGTGGGGCCCTGCAGCGTGCCAAGCCTGTAGCATGCAGTGGCCTGTGGCGTGCGGTGGCCTGGACGCTGCAGTGTGCGGGGCCCTGCAGCGTGCCTGCAATACTCTGGTTTGACGCACAGCACTGCCGTCAAGGTGCTCCACAGACCTCTCCTCTGTCCAGGAAGCCCCGGACGGACACGGGGGCTCGAAGCCAGCAGCTAAAAGCTGCGGAACCTGCGGGGAACTTGAGGCCATCACCAATGTGAGAGGAAGAGCTTGCTGGGTTTGGAGGTTGAGGAGCAGCGTGATAGAAGAAGGATCCCCAGGGCAGAGGGCCTCCGAGCCCACTCACAGCACTGCTTCATGGCCTCTGCACCATATTTTCTTGAGTTGTTCAGCCAATCATTTGTTAAAATGTTGTAGCTTCATCTAATAACCCCCTCTGTGCACCTGAATAGTTCACCTTATATCAGTAGGCAGGTACCAGCTAACAGAGCTGCTCTCAGCTCACGTATACCTCAACACCATCTGGAAAGGACTAAGTGTTCCTTCCACATGCCACAATAGACAACTGGAAATAATAAAAACATCAGAAGAAAGGGGCACTCACAGATTTATTTCCTGAAAGTGCTTTCTTCTTTCCTTTCTTTTTTTTTTTTATTCACCTATTCCACTTTGCCCTTCCTTCTTCATAACTTGTCTGCAGCTCACTCATATTGCTCACAGATTTTAGTCTCCATCAAGCTGTATTCTTTGTTGCAGTATTGATTAATATCTTTAATATCCTGTCATGAACCTCTGCAGTTAGCTTTTGTGCCACAAATAGAAGACTGCTTGGAAGAGGGCTGCTGTGAGTAAGGACAGTGCGTGTGTGCCCTGGACATGGCAAAAGGCACAGGAGTGTCACCAAACCGTGCCGGCTGCCAAGGACTTTGGTGACTCTTGCCGAGTGAGGAATTGATTCAGAAGAGAAAATAAGCCTTTGAGAAATGCACTCTGGACCTTTTTCTCCCCAAGATCATGCTTGTGGCTGATGCACAAGAGGCAAGGCTGGGCTGGATCGCAGCTGTGACTGCCTGCTGGGTCAGCTGCTAAGAATAACCCATGAGCTGGCGTGGGAGGCACGTGCCGCGCCGCCCACGGGCACGCCGCCACGCAGGACACCCGCCTGCCACTGCCCGGGCGCCCGCTCGCCCTGGAACCTCTCTCCAAAGGCGACCAAGTAGCAGATACTTACAGAGAGAGCCCAAGCAGCCGTCTTGTCTCCCCTCCTGTGATCTGAAGAAAGGGCATGGGTATGTTCAGGAGGCTCCTGATCACTCCCAAAGGGGCTGGCTGACAGCAAGAGCCAACGGACTGAAGCATTTTGGTGAATCCTGGGACTACCGTGGCTTTGGCCACACTGCAGGGCTTGCAGCAGGGACACTGGTTGTTGCAGACTCCGACTCTCGTGTCCCTCAAGGCCAGGTGGCTGCCTAGGGCCAGCTCAGAAGCGCTCAGCAGCACGAGGCTCATCACGAGCAATGTCAACTGCGGTTTTACTGAATGAACGAGTAATGAGACTAATGCGCCCCGGGAGTCCTTACATCGCTGCCCCCGGTGCCAAGCCAAGGTCAGGTTCCTCGGGACGGGGACAGGGACGAGCAGGGGCAGGTGCGGCATAGGAGATAGCAGCATTTGTTCATTCATGAGCAATTTGCTCAGTGATCCGCTGCAGGCAGCTGCAGAATGAGTCGAGCACTGGAGTAACCCAGTATTTTGTTTACCAAGCCCAAGCCATGACAGTTACTGTGTCCTCAGGAAGATATCACTCAGGCGAGTCACAGGTATGGGGAGAAAGCAAGGGCTCCCCTCTCATTTTGTGTAACCCCTTGTACACCGGCAGCAATTAACAGCCCGTGTGGACAGTCCTGCACAGAGGGACTCTCTCCTGGTCACAGGAGGGAAGCGTGGGGCTGCAGAAGGAAGACACTTGCCCTTGGTGCAGCACTTCCACCATGGAAATCTCCCCTGTGCTGCCACCATGGCCCCCCTGCTCTGCTCCCTGGGACCTGGCTCTCAGGGAAGGACACTCTTCACTGGAGCACTTCTCCCCGGGAATGGCGGCACCAGCAGCACCCTGGAAAAACGCTGGCTCGTGGCATTAGCTGCACTGTGGGCTGCTGGCTAGTCACAAAGTCACAGCAGTGCCGCAAGCCGGGGCTTTGCTGATGAGCTGTGCCGCAAGTGGCAACACATGGACGCTGCAGAGTAGGGCCCAGCGTGGGCTCCGGGGCAGCCTCCCTCGTCGCGATGCTTCGCGGTCCTGAGGACCGAGAGGGCAGGGAGAATGTCAGGGCAGGGCCCAAGGGAGCTGCTGGTTCTTCCCTCCCTGTGCAGGAAGGCCAAGCTCCAGCAATGCAGGCCACCACGGGCCAGCGGGCAGAGAGGGTGGTAAGTCCATTTTTATGCTTTTTTTTTTTTCCCTCTAACCGAATCTTCACTTTCCTACAGAAACCTTCACGTGGGTGTGAAATTCCTCTTCACACTTGGTCTTTCTTGCTGCAAAGCTGCCTTGGCGCGGGACTTGGCATGTGCCATGTGTCCCTTGTCAGTGCCTCACTGACAGCTCAGGCGGACACCGCTCTCCTATCCCCTTGTTAATTCAGCAGCGGGCAGAGGATCCCCGAGCGCTGAGGAAAGCTGATCCTGCCTTATAAACCCGGATAGATAAAATGCCAAGAAGCTAAAATAAGCCGGTTCCTTCAGCTCGTGAGGTCCCGGGACCTCACAGTGCCCTGCCCACGCGGCCCTGATGACAGAGGAGAGGGGCCCACATGGCAGGGCCCGCCAAGCGGCGCCACCCTCTGCTGGGGACCAAAAGCTGAGGGCTGTGGCCATGGCCGTGCTGTGTGGGGCTGGCTGGCCACGCGTCACCAGCACCGGTGACACTGTTGAGAGGAGACAGGGCAGGCATGAACACAGCGAGACCCTGAGCACTCATGCACCAAAGCCAAGTGGCCTCCACTGCGGCCAAGCCTCTGCTGTGGGAAGCAAAGTTCCACCCACGGAAACATTTCCAACCATTTCCACTATCTTCTCACCTCCTTTCCTGACCCTGAGAGCCCTCCATCATCTTGGGGAGCTCAGAAGGATGGGACCCCTGATGGGGCCTGGCGTGCGGGCAAGAAACTCACCTGTAGTTGTACTGGAAAAGCTTCTGGTAGATAGCGTGAGGCAGGGAGAAGCACGTCGCCATCAGCCAGATAACCGAGATGCTCAGAGCACCTTTTGTTAGCGACATCCTTTGCTTCAGTGGGTTCAGGATGACCTGCAAGAAAGACTCTTGGCAATGACTCTTCCTTACCTCGAGGAAAGCAAAGTCCCTACACTAATACACAGCAGAGGCATTTTGTTACATGATCCAGTGCTATTAAGAAAATCACAGCCACGATTAGGAAAATCATCCTGCTTATTAGGGTGACCCAGAGAAAAATGAAACCTTGAACTTATCTGTCTGTTCAGAACTACTTCCAAATGAACTTTTTCTCTATTTTGTTCCATGAGAATCATTTTCTTTACATCAGGGATGGCATTAAGGGAAAAAAAAACTATGAGAGTCTCTTCACTTTTGGGTGTGTTTGCTTATTTTACATGAATCATAAAAAGAAGCATCTCCTGTTCTAGCTAAACCCATAAATCTGATCTCGCCTCCCCTGTCTGGAGTCATTAGTTTCCTTTATAGGAAATTTCATTAGTTAGAGGACAAGATGAAGAGCTTATAAAACTCCCAAGTCTGGAGAGGACTATTTGGCCCATAGGGAGGTATTGTATAGAAAGGGAGAAGGGTTGCTAGAAATAAGTACATGGCCCAATCTATGTTTCCTTCTGTAATAAATTGTTTATTGTAGTGAAGAATGGCTATAGTTTGGCTGCAACCTCCAAAAATATAAACAAACCCCGGGGTAAATCTTCTGCTAGCTCAGGTGTGTCCTTTCAATATTTCCAGCAGAAATTGCTCCCTTCACTGTGCACTTTTATACTGTTCCAGCATCAGTCCCAGAGCTCTACCCGAGGACCTTAATCTCAAAATTGCTTTTTGTTCCCCAATACAATGAGCTGGGAATTGCTACCAGCTCAGACTGTCCTGCAGCTTTATGAGACAGCAAATGCCCAATGGGAAAGGAAGAACAGAAGAGCAAACATGTGACTGTGTCAGAACTGAATCTCAGGATCCTATGACGATGCTTATGGTTTTTGGAAAATGAAGGAGAAAAGCTTTGAAGGATTCCCTGCATGACTAAACTGGCACGTGGTACTCGGCAGTGGCTCTGCTGCCTTTCCAAACCCACCATTTAAAAGGCAGCCTCTTGAAACCATCTTTCCCACCATACCTTGGGAGCTAAGTTAGATGTGGCTTTTAGAAAATTGCTTGGACAAGGCATCCTCACGCCTTTCCACTGAAATGTGAGACCATCCTGGGGAATGTGTGATGCTGTGTTCAGGTTTTCTTCCTCCTGTTGGGTGTCTGGACAGCCAGCAAGTGCCTGAGGGCTCCCTCTGAATTTAGTTCTGGAGCTAAATTCTGGAGCTTTTTAACCGTGAACCCACGACTCAACCCAACCCGCTTGGGATCTGCAGGGACCCCTCCAAGGAAGCTGCAAACACGCCGTGTTTTACCTGGTGCCTGTCCAGGGCGATGGCCGTCAGGGTGAGCGTGGAAACGTGCAGCGAGCAGTACTGCACAAAGCGGCTGATGTGACACATGGCCTTCCCAAAGATCCACGTGCTGTTCACAAATCGAACCTGAGGGGAGAGTGAGAAGCCATCAGCAAGCCAATGTATGGAACCAAAATACACATCTACCAGAGCAAAGAGAGGGTATGGATGCTTAAGGGTTTTGACCTGCCCGGCATAGTTGTCTGCGAGACCAGGTTGTGGTGGCCTCGTGGCCGGTCCTCGCGGTGCATGCACAGGGAGTGTGTGACTATTGGGCAGGGCATTTCTGCACCAGGCATCCTGCCCGGCTAGCGGGACAGCACTGCGCGCCACTCACCAGGGTGAAGGGAGTGTTGAGCAGCGTGATCATGATGTCCGACACCGCCAGGTTGACGATGAAGAGGCTGGTGGCTGAGTGCATCCTCTTGTTCTTGAGTACCACGTGGCACACCAGCATGTTCCCAAAGAGGGACATGATGATGATCACTGAGTAGGCCACAATGAGGAGAGCTTTCACCGTTGGTTTCTGGGATTCTGGCTCATATTTAGCCAGTTCAGCAAATTTTTCCCACTCAACAATTCGGCTGTCTGTCCAGTTGAAGGAGGTCCTATTGGTTGCTTGGTAGATTGACATGAGTTTGTCCAAGGAAGAATAACGACCGAATGCCTCAAGGACATGGGTCATCTGTGACTGCAGCAGCGAATGAGGCATGGTGAGTTGACCGACGTGTTGACTCAGCTCCAGGCAGCGGGGACCACAGCTCCAGCCAACACACCAAACCACTCAGCAGCTTCGGCTACTTTGGTTCTCCAGGAAGCTGAAGAAGATGCAGCTGTCATTGGGAACCACCCCGTAAAACCTCTGTGGTGCAGTAGATTCTCCAGAAACGGTGTCAGAGAGGCTCCGGAGAGCAGCTGCATTGGAAAGGGACTTGTTCAGGACCACACACTCCCATAACTCCTTGACATGCAGAGACCAGCAACAGCCCCACAGGCAGGCTGGAAAGAAGGACCAGTCAATTGAAGCAAATGTCTAAAAGCCTCAGATGGCGGTTGAAATTGCTTTAATCCCACATCAACTTCTTTTTCTTTGCCCTCAGCTGAGTCCATTATTCCTTCAAGTTTCAGAGAATGTTGCTCGTGGTCCTTTCAGCCACTATTTCAAAACACCTGGTTCTTTTCAGTAGGAATGTAAAGACAGAGCCACTTGAGGAATAGCTTTTAAGAGCAAAGGTAGCTTTTGTCTGCATCTAACCCCAGCAATTATCCTAAGGTGATTCAGCACCTGGAAATCACATCAGAATTTGACTTTAGTCTATATCTTTTCTCTCTTATTTTCCAAACAGTAACTATCAATTTTGTTCCCAGTGTTTCAGCTTCCGAGAGAAAATGATCCCTCTGGCAAAAGCCAAAACACGATAGCCGTAAAGAAGCAGGCAAGTATATCATACACAAATAAAACAGTTCATAGACCTGATTTTACAAGAACAATTCCGTAGACTTCAGAATCTCTTCATACTTACCCTAGCGCCTTCCCTTGCTAGTATCCACTTCTGGCTATTTCTGGTGATTTTAGATCATGTGGATTTTCTGTTGCTGTTAAGTGAAGCGTGCTAACTACGTGCGCCAGTGTTCATGGATGAGCTACACACAGCAGAAAGTTGTTTAGAAACTTACTCTGGTTCTCTGCAAGGGAAGCAGGTTTGTTTTGTATATGCTATGCCTGTCAAAGCCCTTGGCTGTGTGCATGAATCAATGGGCCTCATATGGAGTGAGGGATTAATAAGCAGAGCTCTCAGTGCTCTAAAAGGCTCCTGGAACACCTCAGCACACACTGACCAGCAGGCTACTGAGGGCTGCATAGCGGGTGGTGGCCTAAAGCCGATTCTAGCAGCTCTCAGATCTAAGACGCAGCTCTGTCATTCCAGCGGATCTCAGATGTAAACACCACTGAGCCACAGTCAGAAACTGACTGCCTGTTTTCCCAGAGAAGTACAGAGCAGGGGGCTCGTGTCTGATCTGTCCATCCACGCATTCCCAACAGTAAATCTGCTTTGGCGTATCAGCTTACATGGATATACTGAGGAGTGTCACGGAGAAGATACACTACTGTTGTGCAGGATGGGAAGAAGAAGGAATTAGGCAAGAAACCAAAGAACAAATCTTGGAAATGGCCCCTGGCTTCTTCTTTGGTGCAGTCATGAGTGAAGGAACCCTGGGAAGGACAGAAAGTTAATGAATGCTCTTGGCTCCTGATGGAGCAAGGCAACCGGAATGCAACAGGGACACAAGCATTGCATCCACACTGGACTTCATTATCTCTGTTCTGTCTCCTCGCTATTTTTCCAAAACTGATGGCCTGGGGAACATCTACTTAGTCTTAGCCCAGGTCCTATTCTGGCTCCACGACAAAACACGAACCTGGGGAGCTGCTGTGAAACAGAGAGCGGAGCTGAAACTGGGCCAGGGCATCGTTCACCTTGTTTACGAAGGATGATTGACACCTGAGCCTCTCTGCAGTGACATCCCTCTGAGGTGGCTCAGCAGGAGTCACACACACATCGTTTGCAAGAGTAATGGGAGGACCCAGAGCTGCAGAGCAGACCGGCTCTCCACTCTCAGGGCATCAAAAAACCTCTGAGGTCATCACAGATCCACCATGCTCCTGGTAAGCGTGCAGGACTTCACACTTCTCCAGGACTAGCAAAGGTATATACTGAGAGCCTCCTTCTGTAAGGCAGTGTATAGGAACTGCTGCACTATTTCTGGAATAATGAAACAGGATTTTAGGCAGCACCGAATGAAATACTCTGAATAATACCACTGGGATGCTCGTGATACGCTGAAATGCCATCACTGAACTGAAGAGCTGCTGCTCTAGTATGAGAGATTAAGCCACTTAGAGCCTTCCATGCATCAGTTTATTTTGAGTTCTCATGTTGGAAATTGTCTTTGCTGCCATGAGAAACAAGCTTTACATGAAGGCTGAGTCTCAAGAAACTGCTGTAACTTACAAGTGAAATCTTCACATCAGAAAGAAACCCTTGACAGATTAGGCAGTTAAAAAAAAAAGCCCAAACAGGCTTTCTGAAGCACCTGTGAGAAGCTCATTTCTCAAGGGGTTTGTTGGAGCTGCACGTGTGGGCTGTTCTGGGGAGCCGTGGCCTTGCCGCGGCTGCTGGATGGGGACAGCTCCCCTTCCCTGCTGCTCACGGCCTCTGTCCACTCGCTGCGCTATCAAATATAGGAACCAATTCTGCTAAAATATAACTAACGAATGAAAAAACATTTTTCAGCTGGATCAAGTTCCTGACCTGGCTTAGTGCTTAGTGCATGGCCAATCATTTGTTCACACTTGTTCTTACTAGGGAAGGGGTTAGGGACAATGAATTGAGAGAGTAACAGAAAAGCTTAAGAAGATAATGGAGCTACCACCTAACTTTCTAACATGGAATTTGTGCTCATATTTGTTCTCATATTTTGCTACACCATACACAGCACTACTGCTAGTACCTGCTGGCCTCTGGCCAGGGGAGACCCCAAGTGCAGCAGAGGGACGTCCCAATCCCCTCTGGAATGTGTGTGTGTAAGAGCTGACTATCCCGAGAAGCTGAAACACTTGGTATCATGCAGTAAGAGATTTTAGCCTTCAGGCTCTATAAGTTAATACGATCTGAAGAATCAGAAAGAACCCACCCAGCTCAACTTCCCGTAGTTCTTCTACTGCCAGGTTCACACAGGTTGCCAAATGCATCTCGCTGCTTTATGAATCTCCTCCCGGTGCTGGAACGTTAACCTTTCCTTCTAAAGACTTTCATGACATTTTTCCAAGAGCCGCTGTCAAATGATTGCAATTCTGAACATAAATCAAGCTTTCACTCACTGAAGAAATCGAACCTTTTAATAACACCATATACACTGCAGGTACAAGTTATGAACCGTTCCGGGCAAAATCCACGTAAAGGGTGAGAAAATCGCCCCCTGTAACTTCCCCTCCTGCCATCCCCGAACGCGCATCGCTCGGCCCCACACTCCCGTACCTGCGCAGGTCTGCTCAGGAGCTCGCCCGGGGCTGGCCCGGAGCTCCCGCTGCGCGCGCCGCCCCTTACCGTGGCGCCCGGCCCATGGGGCG